TATTCCAAAGTTGTAATGAGCCCTCTTTCGGTTATAAAATCTCAAAATGCTAGTCCACCTCCCAAAATGCACACCCAAGGCCCCTTAATTACACTCTAACTCGGGAATTTCACAAGAAACAATAAGCAACAAATTCGACAATGTGTGGGAGGCATCCACAAGTTGACCTCTAAAGAAAAGAAAATCAAAATTTTGAGAATTTTTGGGGGAGTTTTTTTTTTGTTCTCCCTTCTTTTCTATTTATTTTTTTTATTATTTTTTTTTTCTCATTTTTTTTTACATTATTGCCCTCGCCTCTTTTAACTGTGAGCGGCTCTTTCTTTATTCGAAACGTGTGGCTTATTATGCCACTTATTACACATAATACAAGTATAACCAATTCCCTAATAGAGTTTCATTTCGGGGAGGAAGTGAGGCACATTAAGGGCACAAGGGACCGCAATTTGACTCAAACATATCCTACTTTGGGCAAATTTAACAATATCCTATGCTAGATGTGCAATTGAGCATTCATCGACTTTCATTTCATATACACTAATGCAACCAGGATTAATAGACCTCTAAATGACCCCAACTCTTGCATGCACCCTTCTAAAAGAACTTTTACTCATCACTCAAGAGTCAAGCAAGCAAAACATATTAGCGTCGTCATTTGAGTTTCATCCTTGGGCAATCTTTTCATTTTTCAATATTTTTTCGTTTTTCGAATTTTTTTTTATTTTTTTTTTTTTTTTTTGAGTAAGAAATGAAAAATTACAGCATTGGGCTAGCTAAACTAAGCATAAAAAAAAAAAAAAATAATAAAAAAAACTATACAACTAAATGAAAAGATAAGAGAGGTATTCACAAGATAAGAAATTTGGATTTAGGGTATTGGATTTCAAAGGGAGCAAATTTGGATTTAAAGGATTTGGATGTTAGGGAAGAAGAGAATGGGAAAAACCAACATGCAAACTCAATCATGGAAACACGAAAACACAACACGAACCAATGACACATGAGAGAACACTCCACTCCCCCCCAAGCTATCATAAACATTGTCCCCAATGTTAAAGCAATGCAAGCACAAAGAGAAGGGGAGGAAGAAACTAACTCATTGGTTCGGGCCCCCTTGGGAGCTTGAGCCCCCTGGGTAGAAATGCCGGTACATAGTGCGGAAATCGCCCAACATTGATCTGAGACCTTCGAAACTTGTTCTCATGTTGTCAAAAGAAGTCCTCATATCTTCGTTTGATCTCCTTAAGGTCTCGAATTCGGTGGTCATGCGGGCAAAATTCGCATTCATGTTGGCTACCTGCTGCTCAAAAGAGATGTATGGGTTGTTTTCACCCACACCTTGATCTTGGTAACCCTCTTGGTCCCCTTGTTGGAACTCGTGTTGTTGATGAAATTGCTGTTGCTGAAATTGTTGATGATGTTGGTGTTGTTGAAATTGTTGATGATGTTGCTGCTGTTGTTGTTGTTGTTGATGGAATTGTTCCTCACCGCCTTGGGGTTGGTCATCTTCTCCACCCGGAATCCACTCAAAATCCGGCTCAAAGACCCAATTCTCGGGGTTGTAAATAACCGTGGCTTCCGGATTTGGCAAAGTTGCATAGGGGCGCCTACTTACCATCCACGTGTAGGTCCTACCCTCTTCATCTTCCTCCAACCAATGCATAGCCTTGAGGGAGCGGATGTCAAGTGTCGTTGGCCCGGGAATGATTTCCAAATCTGCAAAATTAAGATCGAGAAAAGCAGCAATAATAGTGATCATCCCCCCAATTGTTATCACTCCACTCCCCGAGGATACATCATCTAGGTGGTCTACAAGCCAAGCCCCTAAGTTCAACCTCTCGTCACCCTCACTCAAGTGCCAAAGAAAAAGCAACTCACGGTTAGAAACTACACCCAAACTATCTCCCCTAGCAAAAATAGTATTAGCTATTAGGCGCTGGGATAGTCTAAAGGCGGGGTGTACTATGGCCGTGGCCTTGTCAGTCCTAGGATCTCTAGTAAATAGGCCGGTGATTTTTCTCCAAAAAGATCCCGAGTTATGCTTTCGGGAAGGCTTATCCTTAGGTCCGAATTTGCCATCCGTTGGCCACCCAAATGCTTGGTTCACTTGTTCTATGGTCATCTTGTGATGGGTGTTCATCAATTGGAAGGTCAGGTAACGGGGGTTGTTGCGGTTATCTCGGTGGACATATAGTGAGGAGAGGAATTCTAAGGTAAGCCGTTTATAGGTGTTAGCATGCATTTCTAACCAATTTGGGACACCGGTTTGAAAAAAAAGTTGCCTCACATCATTCTCTACGCCTAAGGCTTCGGCTACCTCATGGTTGTAAAATTTCGTTGGCCGAATTCTTCTCCTACTAATTCTTAGGTAGCTGTCCATGAAATCCGAATTATTAAAGACAATACCTAGGGTGTCCACTTGTGGTGGTTCGACGGTTGATGGTGGTGGAGGGTTTCTAAGCCTAGCGGATGAGGTGTTTCTTGGTTGGTTTCTTCTTGACATGATCAAAAAAAAGTTTTAGAACACTTCAAGCAAGCACAACACCTAATGAACAAGTATTTGAACACACAAGGCTCTAAGTCTTCCACCTAACCAACACACAACAAGAACAAGCCCGAAAATTGAAATTTACCAACAATGATCTTATCAATTCAAACAATCAAACATCAAAATTGTCAATGTGCACAATTTACCAACAACAAATCAACAATCCAACACCAAAAGCATCCATACTCACACAAACCTATCACCAACCAAAATTTCAATGCTCTCAATTCACGCAAAATTTTTTTTTTTTTTATACTACTAAACTATCAACAATCACAATTACTTAACAAAATGTCAACAATTTCAACTATTACTACTCATAAAATCGACCAACAAGCATTTAAACTACAAAGGAAGAACTTGAGATTAGAAAGATTATACCAAGAATATCGTGGGTGTAGAACCCGCAAATGAACCTTTCTAGTACTCCTTGTTGTTTATTGATGGTCCTTGTTCACCCAATTTGCTTAAAGAATCAAAATTCAAGAAACCCCCAAATCAATTTTGAAAGTTAGGGTTTGAGAAAATTTTGGTACTTTGGGGTTTTGATGGTGAAAAGGGGTAGTAATTTGTGAAGAAGGTTGAAAGAGGAGTGAAAATTGTAGATTAGAGTTGGGATTTAAGTGAAAAATGGAGTTTGAAGAGTGAGAAATAGGAAGTATGGAGTTTGAAGGAATAGTATGAAGTATGGAGTATGGAGGATGAAGGAGAATTTGAGTATGAAAGAGGAGTGAGAATTGTGAGTATGGGGGGGGGGTCTTTGCTATTATAATTTTTTTTATTTTATTGTTATTTTATTTTTTATTTTTTTTTTAGTAAGAAACCGTCATATTGCTGTGCAGGCTGAATCTGCACGGACGTGCAGATTTTGGCACGGACGTGCAGATTCCTGGCAGAATGGCAATCTGTTCTGTCTTCGAGCGCACGGACGTGCAGTAGTGTTGGCACGGACGTGCGAACCTTCAGATTTCACTAGTCAGGTTCTGCCTTCGTCTGCACGGACGTGCGATGTTCTGCACGTCCGTGCAGACCTGATGGTGCACGATTTCTTCTTCTTTCCCCTTTTTTTTTTTTTATTTATAGAAACCTACAAAAAATATATATATATATAAGTAAAAAAAAAAAAAGGGATAAAAATAATAATAAAACAAATGAAATAATAATAATTGAGGGGAGTGAGGAATTCGGGTTGCCTCCCGGTAGCGCTTCTTTAACGTCACTAGCTTGACGACATTGCGGGATCAAATGTTAGTGAGGAATATCGAACTCATCAAGGTGAACAACTTTTGCCTCTTCATTCAAAAAAACATCAAAGTACGCTTTTAGCCTTTGGCCATTTACTTTGAACGGTTCACCATTCTCTTTGGCAATTTCGATTGCACCATATGGGAACACCTTCTTGACGGTAAAAGGTCCACTCCATCTTGATTTTAGCTTACCCGGAAACAACTTCAACCGGGAATTGAATAGTAGGACCTTGTCACCTTCCTTGAACTCTCTTTTGTTGATATGCTTGTCATGCCAAGCCTTGGTCTTTTCCTTGTAGATCCGTGCATTCTCATATGCATCCAATCTTAGCTCTTCCAAGGCATGGAGGTCAAGTAACCTCTTTTCACCGGCACTTTGAAGGTCAAAGTTCAACATTTTAATAGCCCAATGAGCACGATGCTCAAGTTCTACCGGTAAATGGCATGATTTCCCATATACTAGCTTATAAGGGGTGGTGCCAATGGGAGTCTTGAATGCGGTGCGGTAGGCCCATAGAGCATCATCTAGCTTCGTAGACCAATCCTTTCTAGACCTATCCACCGTCTTCTCTAAGATAACCTTTATCTCCCGGTTTGAAATTTCGGCTTGACCACTTGTTTGAGGGTGGTAAGCCAATGACACCTTGTGCCTCACACCGTACTTCTGAAGAAGAGCTTGGAAGGACCGCTTTGCAAAATGCGAACCTCCATCACTAATGACGGCACGTGGCACCCCAAACCTCGGAAAAATGACCTTCTTGAAGAGTTTGACCACCACCTTAGCATCATTAGTAGGAGATGCAACCGCTTCTACCCACTTTGACACGTAATCGACGGCCACAAGAATGAATTTATTCCCAAAAGAGGTTGGGAAAGGCCCCATAAAATCTATGCCCCATACATCAAAAATCTCCAACTCAAGAATGTTGTTCAATGGCATTTCACTTCTTCTTGAAATATTGCCGGTTCTTTGACACCGGTCACAAGCTTTCACTACACCCCACACATCTTTGAACATGGAAGGCCAATAGAAACCACATTGTAAGATCTTTGCCAAAGTTTTGTTAGCACTCATATGTCCTCCACAAGGTGATGAGTGACACATTGTGATAACACTTTCAATTTCATCATCCGGGATACACCTTCTAAAAAGGCCATCAACACCTTGTTTAAAGAGCAAGGGGTCGTCCCAAAAGTATTGGCGAATATCATGAAGAAACTTCCTTTTTTGTTGATAGGTGAGGTCGGGAGGAAGAATAGAGCAAGACAAGTAGTTTGCAATGTCCGCAAACCATGGTGCCGGTACTTGAAGGATAGCAAAATAGTCGATCATCCGGAAATGAATCATCGATTGGCAAGTTATCAAGATCACCTACAAAGATAGGCAACCGTGAAAGATGATCGGCCACAACATTTTCGGCACCCTTCTTGTCTCTAATCTCAATATCATAATCTTGCAAGAGCAAGACCCACCGTATCAATCTTGGCTTAGGTTCCTTCTTAGACAAGAGGTACTTCAAGGCTGCATGGTCGGTGAAAACTATGACCTTAGAGCCCAACAAGTAGGACCTAAACTTCTCAATTGCATGAACAATGGCTAGAAACTCCTTTTCCGTGGTTGTGTAATTCCTTTGTGCCTCATCCAATGTTTTGCTAGTATAATAGATATCATGGAGCTTCTTGTCCTTCCTTTGTCCAAGAACAGACCCAACGGCGAAATCCGAAGCATCACACATAAGCTCGAAAGGAAGTTCCCAATTGGGGGGTTGAATTATAGGAGCCGAAATCAAGGCCTCCTTCAACCTATCAAATGCTAGCAGACAATCATTAGTAAACACAAAAGGGGCATCTTTTACCAACAATTGAGTGAGCGGCTTTGCGATTTTTGAAAAATCCTTTATGAACCGGCGGTAAAAACCCGCATGTCCAAGAAAGCTCCTTATCCCCTTCACATTTGTAGGGGGTGGGAGGCGCTCAATTACTTCAATCTTGGCACGATCTACCTCAATGCCCCTACTAGAAATCACATGACCAAGAACAATTCCCTCCTCTACCATGAAATGACATTTCTCCCAATTCAAAACTAAGTTCACCTCTTGACATCTTTTTAACACTTTAATCAAGTTTGAAAGACAAGTGTCAAAAGATGAACCAAAAACAGAAAAGTCATCCATGAATACCTCAATTGATGATTCAAGCATGTCGGAAAAAATAGACATCATACACCTTTGAAATGTGGAAGGTGCATTACAAAGCCCAAATGGCATTCTTCGATATGCGAAGGTGCCAAAAGGACATGTGAATGTAGTCTTTTCTTGGTCCTCGGGGTGGATTGGAATTTGAAAGAATCCCGAGTATCCATCCAAGAAGCAATAATGACTATGTGATGCTAGTCTTTCCAATATTTGATCAATGAAGGGGAGTGGGAAGTGGTCTTTCCGGGTGGATTTATTCAATTTTCGATAATCAATGCACATCCTCCACCCGGTGACCGACCTCATAGAAATGGTCTCACCCTTATCATTTTTGATGATGGTCATGCCTCCCTTTTTAGGCACAACTTGAACCGGGCTAACCCACTTACTATCGGAGATAGGATAGATTATGCCCGCCTCAAGAAGTTTTAAAACTTCCTTTTTTACCACTTCCTTCATATTGGGATTGAGCCTTCTTTGGTGCTCAATCGAGGAAGCATGATCATCATCAAGTAGAATTTTATGCATGCATATGGTGGGACTTATCCCCTTAATGTCATCAATTTTGTACCCAATAACATCTCTATACTTCCTTAAAACAACTAGGAGTTTCTCAAGAGAGGTGTCATCGAGCTTAGCATTGACAATAACGGGATAATTCTCACTATCATCAAGAAAATCATATTTGAGTAGAGGGGGAAGGGGTTTAAGTTCAACCTTAGGAGGAGGCGTAGTCCTCTCCTCTTTTGCCTCCACGTTAAGCACTTCAAATTTTATCATCTCGTGGGCCAAAGGTTGGTTGAGCAAGAGATCATACCCCTTTGCTTCTTCACCCTCCTCAACAAAGCTTCCCGTTAGGGTAGCTTGTAAAGGATCTCTTTCATACAATCTTTCTCGGAACTCTTCTATGTCCCTTTCCAATGTGTCAATTCTATGAACTTCATCAATCAATGGCTTTTTTAAAGTTTGTGAGAATGAGAATGAAATTTTCTCATCTCCCACATTTAAAGTCAATCTTCCTTCCTTCATATCAATCACCACTCCCGCGGTGTTCAAAAATGGTCTCCCCAAAATGAGGGGTACTCTTGAATCTTCTTCCATCTCCATTACTACAAAATCACACGGCACAAATACTCTTCCAACTTGAACTGGCACATCTTCAAGAATCCCCAAAGGTAGCCTAACCGTGCGGTCGGCTAGTTGTAAGGACATTCTTGTTGGTTTCAAGTCTCCAACTTTCAAGGTCTTTGCAATAGAATAGGGCATCAAGCTCACACTTGCCCCAAGATCACATAAAGCATCCATAGCTTCCAAATCTCCAATCTTCACCGGTATTGCATAGCTACCGGGGTCACCAAGCTTTTGGGGAAGCTTGTTTTGGATGATTGCACTCACCTCCTTAGGAAGGGAGATGGTTGCACTCTCTTCAAGCCTACTCTTGTTGGATAGAAGATCCTTCAAAAATTTTGCATAGGTAGGCATTTGTGACATAGCGTGAAGAAAGGGGATGTTCACTTGAAGTCCTCTCATGACTTCAAGAAATTTTGAAAACTTCTCATTCAACTTCTTCTCTACAATTCTATGAGGAAACGGAATGGGGGGCTTATATACTCTCATAGGGGGCTTTTCTATTCTTTCTTCGTCTCCCTCGTCTTTCTTTGTGGCTCCCTCATCACTCTTTTGCTCTTATCTCTCAACTTCAACTACTTCATTTTCAAAATCATCCTCACTTCTCACCACAACTCCCTCATCTCTCTTTTGTGGCTCCTCCTCACTCATAACCGGGCCCTCATAACCCCTTCCTGATCTCAAAGTGATAGCCTTAGCTTGCTCCTTTGGGTTCACTACCGTTGAGCTTGGAAAGTGACCACTAGGATTGGAGGATGAACTTCCAACTTGTTGTGCAATTTGAGCCAATTGGCCCTCCATTATCTTATTATGTGCTTGGAGTTGTTGGATGTTTGCATTCATCTCCGCATTGTTCCTTATTTGTTGAGTCATGAAAGTTTCTAGAACGGACTCAAGGCTAGTCTTTTGAGGAGGTGGAGGAGGAGGAGCGGGTTGGTTATATTGTGATCTTTGGTGGTTTTGATCCCTTTGGTTGGGATGGCGGTATAGAGCTTGTTGGTTTTGTGATTGAGGTTGGTTGTAGTGGTTTTGAGGTTGGGTTTGATTTTGGTTGTAGTTATTTTGTGGGGGGCCTTGGTTGTATTGCTTCCATCCCGTGTTATGTTGGGGCTTCCAACTTTGATTGTGGGATTGGGAGTATTGTTCATTCCTTTGCCCAATTGCCGCCGCTTGCTCTTGATTCGTTGAGTTGCAATAGGAGGACAAGTGATCATTTCCTCCACAAGTCTCACAAGACATGACTTGCGAGGAAGAGCTTGAGGGTGTGAGGGTGGCTTGATCTAGCTTGTGAGCTAGCATATCAAACTTTGATGCAATAAGATCTATTGCACTAAGATCATGAATTCCGCCTTTCTTTGTTTGAGGTTGCCTTCTATCACCTCCATATGCATAATGCTTGGCCACTTCTTCAATCATCTTGTATGCATCGTCCACCGATAGCTTTTTGAGGCTACCACCGGCCCCGGAATCAAGGTTGGCCCTTGAAATAGGAGTAAGACCGTCATAGAAGCTTTGTACAATGATCCATGATGTAAAACCATGGTGGGGGCATTTCCTTGTGTAATCTTTGAAACGCTCCCAAGCTTCACTCAATGTTTCATCAATGTCTTGATTGAAATTGGTGATCTTTCTTCTTAGTTCGGCGGTCTTTTCCGGAGGACAATACTTTCCAAGAAAGGCTCTAGTGACTTCGTCCCATGTACTCAATGATCCCTCTTCAACCGTTCTCAACCAATGTTTTGCTTTATCACGGAGGGAGAATTGAAACATGTGCATACGGATGAACTCTTCCGAAATGTTGTTTTGCTTGATAGTTGTACACAACTCAAGAAAGTTGTCCAAATGAGCAAAAGGACACTCATGAGGACTACCTCCGAATTGATCGCTTTGAATCATACGGATGAGTTGAGGTGAAAGTTCAAAGTTGTTTGCATTTGTGGTGGGAAGACGTATGCCACTCCGAAGTTGGAATGCGTTGGGGTGGTCGTAGTCTCTTAACAATGGTTGAGGAGGATTCTCTCCCATGTTATCTTCTTCGTTAGTTCCAAAAACCTCTTCCGGATCGGAATCCGAATAAACAATGGAAAACTCGGGTGTGCCTTGCAAGAGTCTCCTCACGTTTCTCAAAGTCCTATTTAGCTCTGGATCAACGGGAATAAGCGGTGATTGCTTACTCTTTCGTGTCATGCAAGGTCAAACAAAGGTAAGAAAAACGTTAGCAATGACTATCGCAAGTTAAACACACATAAACAAAAATTAAGGTAAGAAAACTACTATACATATACACACATCTAGTCTCATTCAACAATAATACATTCAATGTGACTTTGCCTCCCCGGCAACGGCGCCAAAATTTGATAGGCCGTCGTCGAGCCTACCAAAGATAATAATTCCTATCTTGGTCTCACTAACAATAGTAAGGGTAAGAAAGGGTCGAACCCAAGAGAGGCGTTGAATCAACCACCGAGTACTACCGTTTAAATAAGCTAAACGAATTCTAAATTGGGTTGGTTTTGAGTAACTTCTTCTAACACAATTCAACTAAGCTAAGAGGAGGTTAACAATATTTAGAGGATTCTAGGGCTTGGGTTATACCACTCAACTTCATCACAAATCACAATTAGCATGCAACAATCAAGGTAAATTAATGGGATAAATTAGGGGAAGTCATCTAAAGCACCCAACTACTCTCTCAAGCTAGAGGGATTACTTGAATCATGAATACAACCTACTCTCGTGGTTACATAGCATAAAACAAGTGTTAAAGCATAATCACGATGACATAAACATTCCCTTGACCGGTAATCCCTATTCTCATGGCATTTCGGGTCAATCAAGCATAAGGGAGCTAACTCAAGTTCATCTCTCGATCCTTCGTTGAGAAAGCTTGGATAAATAGTTCTAGCAATGGCCATATACAAGAACTAAGCAATTAAACCACTTAAGCTCAACTAATTAACATCCCACAACAACCAAATTAGCACATGCAACAAGTAATTAGTGACTACATTGAGGGTTTTGCCCAAACCCTAGAATTTAGACTACTCACAATCCATGGGGGCTAAAGCAATTAAAGATTTCAAGCAATTCATGAACAAATTCAAACTAAGGATTAAGCTAATTAACAATCCAAAACATGCAAGAACTAGCAAATAATTAACAACAAAGTAAAGAGAAGTAGAAAAGATGAGTAAGAAATGGTTACTATGAAGCTTCAAGGTGAGCAACAATGGTGGATTTTGTCTTCTACAATGATTGAATTTGAATAATTCCAAGCTAATAATTGAGAACTAACTAATGATTTGAGAATTTAATGTTTTAAGACTACAAACTAAGAGAAAAGCTATGGAAAAACTGCCTCCCCCTTACAAATGAGCTCTAAAGGGGTATTTATATGACCCCCAAGTAAAAAGGACGGAGAAAACAAGGAAGGAGTTCGACTGCAGGTCTGCACGGACGTGCCAGATTTGGCACGGACGTGCAAGACTAAGCACGGCCGTGCCAAGTTTGGCACGGACGTGCAGAGGGGGCAGAATTGAGGCAGAACGTACTGCTAAGAATCGAGCAGTTCCGCACGGACGTGCAGATATTGGCACGGACGTGCAGCTACATCTGCACGGACGTGCTTAATTTGGCACGACCGTGCAGGCCTTGGCAGAATGTTCTGAGTTTCTGGAGCACTTCTGCACGGACGTGCAAAGTCTGGCACGGCCGTGCACCCTCTTCTGCACGGACGTGCCAGATTAAGCACGGCCGTGCAGGCCTTGGCAGCTTGCTGAAGCTTTCTGGAACCTCCTGCACGGACGTGCAAGGTCTGGCACGGCCGTGCAGGGTCTTCTAAACCCCTTTTTTCATCTTTTCTTCTATAATGCTCCTTTCCTTGGCTTCTTTCATCCATCTTCTTGCTTCTAACCTCGGCTTTGTATCCATGGGCTCCATTTGGTCGCTCTTTTGAACCTAGAATCTCAACAAAAACACCAACAACCCGTGAAGCATAGGATACACAAAAATTGCATAATAATAGAGTAAAAATGAACCAAAACGCAATTTATATCAAGTAAACTAGGTTCAAAACACCCTAAAATCGTATCAAATAGCAAGTTATCAGGCTATTTATGCACAAATTTCGAGGAATTTCAACCTGACTGGAATGCGTAGTCAGCGTCAATTGGCGTCACACACCCGAAATTGGCGCCACACAGCAGCTCTTGGCGCCACACGCTAGCAATAGTGCCTGGCGCCACGCGCCACATGCTGGCGCCAGCTGGCGCCAAGTAAGCAGGACAGCCGCGTGTGCTCAGTTTGCGTTTTGATATTAAATCGGAGTCGGTTAATGACTTTATGGCCCCGTTTTAATTTCTTCTAAATATCTCTATCCTTTTCTTAATTAATTAATTATAGCAATTATGTTTAGTTAATTTTTATTCTTTTTTGGATTTTTATATTAAAATTCAAAATTCAGCCTTTCTCTCCGTTTTATTTTCCCTTTTTATTTTTTCCTTTCGGGGGAGAGAGTCGGATAATACCCTCCATCAATAATAAAAATGACGGAATTTTTGCGCAAAATTGTTATCACATTTGCACACACTAACATATACTAACATAATAATAATACATAATAATAGATTTACAGAACAGAGTGTCTAAATAACAAGTCAAAGGCAAAGTTCTATAAAAAGTAAAAATAAAATGCATATACAGAAATAAACTACGCACTGGAGGACGTAGGCCCACATGCCATAAAACTGCGCAGTCCGAGGAGTCACCTCTCCACCAGCTCCAGCCTCAGCATCAGTTCCAGTCTCCGTAGGAGGAGGGAAACTCAAAACAGGACCGCTCCAGCCAAGGCCAACCTGAGGCTGAGACCGCGGAGGCTGCTGCGATGACGAGCCAACCTCGTACATCCCACCACCTCTGAAAGCCGAGGTAGCCTCTCCTAACGGTGCAGCCGGAACCTCCTCAGAAGAAGACCCTGAGCCCTTAGCAACGTCGGCTCGAGCAGCCTCAGAACGGCCACTTCTACCTCCTGACGAAGTGCGACGACGTCTCGAGCTAGACCTCGCTGGCTCTCTTCGCCCCTCAGGCCTCGTACGGGTGTGAGAAGCAATCGGCTGACCCTGCAAAAAGAAATGAATCAGAAACAAGGTGAAAACTGAAGCATAGTGCAGAAACAATAAGTAAAGAAAAATTACCTCTCGGACAGCGTCGTCTCGACGACAGGTAGCTGCGTTCCTCATCCGGACGAGTTGGCTCCGGAAGGCATCTATGCATCGTGCCATAGCCGAAACCACCTCGCGTGAGAACTGTCAAGGAAAGTTAAGTCAGTAAAAATGCATGATAATTGAATACAAAATTCTGAATTATAGCTAGACTTACCCTGGTCTGGTGACGAGGAATCGACCGCTCCACGAAGCGCTCGCCCTCAGGAGCCGGAGAAATCATCTCCTCGATCGGCCCGTACATCCCCTGGTAGTGGATGGACATACGGGGTGGCACAAACTCAGTGGGACCATCCTGATAAAACAGAAAGAAATCAGTAAGGTGTTACTTGGGGGCTACTCAGCGAAAAAAAAAAGCCAAGAATCTTACCCTCACATCCTCGGCCGGCACGAGGGCTGGAGCTAACAAAGGAAGTAGCTCCCCGGCATAACTCCGCCCAAGGATCACATGGGACCGCCAAAGAGAACCAGGCTCCTCAACCATGCTCGACAACTCTCTCTCGTCGAACATGTGGCGTGGTGGAGGAGCAGGAACGACAAAGACATCGGAAGAGTGCTGTCTAGCAACTCTCTCTCCTAAATACGCAACTGCTCCGTAGGTCCCCAGAAAATAACGGCGCTCAGCAAAGTACTGTGCGGCTAATCCAGGGACTGTCCAACCACCCCATGGCCGGTATACTACCTCAGGTCCCTATAAAAATATCAGTCGGATAAGAACATGTATAAAACGTCGCAGAAGAGCAAGATAAGCACCAAAAAACGCACCGAGATGATCCGACTCCGGACACGTGCTGTAGACAGGTCCACATGGTGGCCGCCCTAAGAGGCGCTCACCGGATACCCCCTTGGCGATGGTCTCGCCGGCGCAATGGAAGGAAAGTATTCATAGAACCAGATCTACAAAAGGCTAAAACATGAGTAAATGCTAACTAAACATATAGGGCTAAATGTTATAGGGAATAATGTTTACCTCTACAACTTTCCAGAAAGCGGACAAAGAGACATTCGTCCTAAGAGACCGGTGGCGACACGAGTCCCTCGGTGCGCGAACGAAGTCAGTATAGGCCAAGCTGGCCCAGTCATAAGTCCCGATCCGCCGGAGATCGCGAACAGCAGGGAAATAGTAAAGCAACGCCCTACTACCCCTATCAGGGGAGAATATCCCTGGCAATAACATCAGCACAAAGATGTGCACCTGCTGCTCTCGGGTGGTCGCATCGTCATCAAGAGCCGCTGCCAGCGTCGAGTGGCGAATCCCTCTAGCACTAAACTGAGTCGTCTCGACCTCAGCTCGAGCCCGAACAGCAATCGGCCCCAGTAGTTCCTCGACCTCTGGAGAAAAGACGTCGATACCACCGTCGAATGGCAGCGGCATAGAAGAGAACTCCAGTCCTGTGATGAGACTGAAGTCTGTAGGAGTGACCATCATCTCACCCCATGGAAAATGAAATGTGTTGGTGGTGTCCCAAAAGAACTCCACCAGAGCGCGTACTACGTGGTGACCCCCGCTGGAAGCGACCATAGCCTCCGAGGTCTCAAACAGAGCAACCAACCCGCAAGACTCCCATAGGAGTATCGTCTCTCGATCTCTGGCGATATGCATCCTATACAAATCGCCGAGACCATCGCAGCTAGAGCCGTGATGTCGTGTCCTTCCCGGCTCGGTTCTCCGTCTCACCCTCTCAGAAATGTGGTGGACAGGGGCAAAGAACAAGGTCTGCTCATCCCACTCTGGGAAATGACCAAGCGAAGTGGACGGTGTAGTATCGTCTTCCACGGGCTCATGCTCCCGTCTAGTGTTTCGGG